TACGCAGAAGAAAGTAGGAGGGTGACCCCCCCGAACATAGCTTAGCTACATAAATACATTTACAAAGTCACCTAACCCTTCTCTCCATACAAAAAGGTCAAGTTATACAACAAAGTTATGAACGAGTCATCCAATCCCTTAATGCTCAAGAGCCAGAGAAAGAGCAACATATACATGCAAGTTAAATATTTAGTATTTTCTTCACTGAAGAAAGTAGGAGGGTGACCCCCCCGAACATAGCTTAGCTACATAAATACATTTACAAAGTCACCTAACCCTTCTCTCCATACAAAAAGGTCAAGTTATACAACAAAGTTATGAACGAGTCATCCAATCCCTTAATGCTCAAGAGCCAGAGAAAGAGCAACATATACATGCAAGTTAAATATTTAGTATTTTCTTCACTGCAAATATGATATCTTTCACTTGAGGTAAGCAATTCTCTTCCAAAATCTTTGCATAAGGCATAGGAACATCTGCACCTGTGAGACGCACAGCTGGAGCATCCAAGTAGTTAAAGGCAGGTCCTGGAATAGAATAAAAAGGTCTCAGGAAAGGCCACTCTAACAACTTTCTTCATACAGATTAAGATCTTAAAGCAATCTGCACACCAACCCTCTTGTGTCTCAGCTGTCCTTGGGCTTGTGAACCCTGAGTATGCAGCCATTCTTGCTTAATTCTCAGCAGTGTCACAAATTAAGTGAAAGTTGTTGGTTTTCTTTTTTTGGGGGGGGGGAGAGGGGGGGAGGAGAGAAGATAAGGACCCATGTTCCCTATCCTTCTAGGGCACATTTCCAGACTAGCCTAACTCCCACAGTCCCTGCAAACTCCTCCAGTGGGGGCTAAGGTTTTTTCTGCCATGTGCCCTTAAGTTAGACTTTAACTAGAAACCCAATTCTTGAGTTCTGATTGATCTTGTCTAGGGTAGCTAGTGTGCCAGGAAAGTATGTTTAAGGTTAGTGAACTAAGTTGAGGCACAGAGTTAAACAAGTTACAGAAGCTATTCAACATACCTTCCATGATCCTGGCACAAATTTCAGCTCCTACTCCAAACTGTGGCCAGCCTCCCTCCACTGTTACAAGATGATTTGTCTTCATAACACTGGCCTCAATACTTTCCACATCCATTGGTCTAATGGTACGGAGGTTTATCACCTGAGAGAGTCAAATTTTTTTTTAGGGTTCTGCACCTCCCTCCCCCTCAAAGTCCTTTTAAGCCTATTTACAATAGCATAAATGAGTACTTTAACTTCACCTTATTACTTTGGTCTTGTTTTAGTCACTTGGTCCTTGAGAGGATAAGTGTCTACAAGTTAACACTTCAAGGCTATGTCTACACTGGCAGCTTCTTGCGCAAGAACTCTTCCAGAAGAGAGCATCTACACTGGCATGTGCTTTTGTGCAAGAGCATCCATGCTAGTGTAGACACTCTTGCGCAAGAAAGCTCTGATGGCCATTTTAACCATGGGGCTTTCTTGCGCAAGAAATTCATGTTGCCTGTCTACAGTGGCCTCTTGCTCAAGAACAGTTGCACAGAAGGCCTTCTTCCTGAGCGGGAGCATCAGAGTTCTGGCGCAAGAAGCCCTGATTTCATACATTAGAACATCAGTTTACTTGCGCAAGATCATGCCAATGTAGACGCAGCCCCAACTATGTATTCAACATCCATTAGTTTTGGCTAGCTTTCTCTGGAGAGATTCCTAATTTTTTCTTCAGCCGTCAAATCCACAGAACAAAGAGCTCTTTGTTCTGGGATAGGATGCTTCTACCTGCACATAGGTCTAATTTTAGACCCCATATCATGCCACAAACTCCTCTGACCCTCCAGCATATCAAATTTGACTTTAGTCATCCCCTCATCATAGAGCTGTGGGCAATTAGCCTTGTGCACACATTCACCTGTGCTTTTCTGCAGTAAGCTTCATTAGATCAAGGCAAACAAACCTTTCACTGCCTCTGCCTTCAGGTAGTTTAAAATGTGAATGCATCTGGACTCAAGCCTTGTCTACAAAAAGAGCACATTACTTTAACTTAGATTTTAAAACCAGTTAAGATTTGTGAAAAGGATGAATACTAGAATCAATATAGAGTTGGCTTATATTAGTATGGCTTATAGTCTGTTCCTGACAAGTTAGATCAGCATCAGCCAGGCTTATACTGATTCGAGTATCCACACGGCCTTTGATTTAACTAGATCAATTACAAAATAAACCCCACTTTAAAATGCTGAGGCAAACCCCTGGTCACCCCCTTAGGAATGGCTCCGCATAGGCCACCTCAAACCCACACTTCACTTTTGTGATTTTACTCATGTCCATGGTATTGATTTTGTTACAGCTTCCTGATGGGGAGTCAGGGGATGCCAGATACATACAAGAAACACACTTGTCTCCATCATTGTATAAAGGGTACTTTGAAGGGCTTGCTAAGCTTAAATTTGCACAGCTTTGGATGGATTTTAAAGAGTAAGACGTTTTCACCAGGGTATGGAATCCTCACATAACACACCTCACACTCCACACCTTCTTTGACAAGTACAGCAGCTGCTTCCAGACAGTGTCCAACAGATCTGGAGTGTGACACTAAAGTAACATGGGTTCCTGAAACACAGAAGCTGGTGAGGGATCAAGTTATACAAGAGCTAACTACAGAAGTCAGATCTTCCTTCCACACTCTAAGTAGCCTTAATAGTAAGTACATAAGCACTCACAACCTTGATTTAATTGGATTTAAGTCTATTCAGAAGTAACTGAACCTGAAATTCAACATCTGAACTCAACCTGAGTGTGGTTATTTGAGGTGCCTGACTCTTGTACTATCTGCATGCAAAATGAGTAGCATTAATTTGCCATGATATGGCTATGATGTTCTTCTCATTCTTGTGAATGTATGTATAAGAAGTTCAAGCCATGACGAGTTTGTGCAACACACTAAGAATATAAACAAGTGGCAGAGTGCAAAAAAGGAAGGGGAATGACATTTCATTCAGCATATAAGGCTTATTACAGTATTGTCTTAGTAAAAAGGTACAATTCCAGATCAAGATATTTTGTGGCCAAGTGATGTTCTGTTTTAACAACAGGAGATTAGTACAGTATGTTGAGGTCCAAACAAACTCAACTTTACAGTTCTGTCCCTTTAAATATTTTCCTATTCCATAGGGAGCGTTTTGTATGAAATATATTATTCAATTAAAGTTACCCAACAGACCAGGAGAACCTAAAAAAAAAAAATCAGATTATATGATATGGTAAGAGTATTCTGAACTTACCTGGTCTTTCTATTTTGGCTTTTCCAATAGGAACAAGGAAGTCCTTTGACTGAGCTTCTTCTGACATTTCAAAAGGGACTCCATACATCAATTCATTTTCCAGCATCACAACTGAAAAAAGCATTGAGTGCTTATTTTGATGCACTTCTCCAGATGAAAGTATTATTACAACATCATCCGACCTCTCCTCCCTACCCTACTCTTCCCCTTCCCCAATTCCTAGTGTGTTAGAGGGCACCGCTATACAAAGCTCCTCGTGGCTCACAAGGCAAACAATAAAACCATAGGTTAGCACATTTGTATCCGCGTGAAAAAGATGATCAACTTGAGCAGCTAGTAGCTCAGCACTGTTTTACAAGTTTGCCCGAATGATCTTGTTAAGGTTAATTTTACCATGTTAAGCATTTAATATTTGGTGATCCAACACCAGTCAGTCCTATTATTGGTGTGGGGAAGGATCAAAAGGATGAGGTCCTTAAGGCAATACAGCATGTTCTACCTGGCTCCTATTACAAAAACAAAACATCCAGACCCCCCTCCTCTTGCTCTAAATTGAATATTAACAAGAAGAAGTAAAGTCAGGAGTTTATGCAAGATTTCTCCCTTGAAGTTCATGAAGTCTCCATAAAAGTCAAAATGACTTGTAAAGATTTTTGAAAAGGACTTTGGTATAAAAACTCTCAGTAATACTGAAGCTCATCTATTTAGGAGACACAACCTTCTCAGGAGGTCAGTCCAACAGAGTGGAAGGAACTCCACCAGGAACAAAAGTCTATCACAAGCCTTGCCACTTTCTGCTCCAAGTGCAAGGTACATTTCTATTACATATAAAAGAAAAAGCAAAGTCAAAGTTGTGGTACCAAACAAGACATTGCACAGCACCTACTTCTTCTAAGGAGAATCACCACCAAGTAAAATGTGCATAATCACATGTGCAACCATTAAAGCCACTGCATGAAGCAGAGTACCCCTTAAAATTCCCAAGTTCATTGTTGTGGCTAATGGGTAAAATAACTTTGACTTTTCAGCTCTATGAATGTAGATGCAATAAGACCACAGTATTTATTAAAAAGTTACATTCACCTGGATTGTCATCCCGGACTGATGCTTTTAGTAGGCCTTTAGCATCCTCTGAACTCCAAGGACTGACTACTTTCAGTCCAGGACAATGCCCATACCAAGCAGCAAAGCATTGAGAGTGTTGTGCTCCTACTCCAGCAGAGGCACCATTGGGACCTCTGAAGACAACCGGGACAGGCACCATGCCTGCAGACATGTAAAGTGTCTTACTAGCAGAATTTATAACTTGATCAATTGCTTGCATGGAGAAGTTGAAGGTCATGAATTCACAGATCGGCCTCAACCCAGCCTGTTAAATTAAGACAGCTATGTTAGTAGTTAAGCATTTAATTCACTAGTAACAAACAGTAAAAGTGTCTGCATTTAACAGTTTTTCTGTGAAATTAATTAAGCCAAGAAAAAACTGATCAGACTTCAACACCAGAAAAGACTTACCATGGCAGCGCCTACCGCAATTCCTGTAAAGCCCATCTGCAAAGGAAAAAGCAAGGAGGGATGAGTACGACTGCCAGCCCCGGACAAGGGGATGAGGACACTCACTGGCACGGTACCTCGGATATGGGCGTGTCCATCACTCTCTTGTCCCCGTACTTCTTCCAGAGACCGCGGCTGATCTACGAGGAGAAAAGACTTACCATGGCAGCGCCTACCGCAATTCCTGTAAAGCCCATCTGCAAAGGAAAAAGCAAGGAGGGATGAGTACGACTGCCAGCCCCGGACAAGGGGATGAGGACACTCACTGGCACGGTACCTCGGATATGGGCGTGTCCATCACTCTCTTGTCCCCGTACTTCTTCCAGAGACCGCGGCTGATCTACGAGGAGCAAAGCGAAAACGGGCGGCTAAGCGCGCGCTCCCCAGCTGGCGGGGGG